CGGGACGCCCCCGCCGCGGCGGAGTCGCCCTCGGGGCTGGCCGCCGTGCTGGGCGCCTGCGAGCCGCTCTGCGCCGCGCCCTGCGCGCTGCCGGGCGGCGGGCGGGCGCGGGGGGCGGCGGGGCGGGCGCGGGGAGCGGCGGCGCCGGCGGGGGCCCGGCCCGGCGGCGACGAGTGGAGCCGTAAGGGCAGCTTCATCCGCAAACCCGCGCAGGGCTGGCTGCACCCCAACGAGCGGGTGCTGGGGCCCGGCGTCTCCTACATTGTCCGGGTAAGTCCCGCCGGAGCCCGGCGGTGCGGGAGGGCGCGGAGACCCCGGCCCCAGGCGTGTGCGGGGCTCGGTGGGTCCGGCCGCTCCTCCCGAGGGCTACGGGCAGAGCCCTCGCTCGAGTCCCCCCCCTCACGGCTGGACCGGGGCAGCCGCCCCTGGCACATCACATCCGTGATGGGGCCGGAGGCCGGGGGTTGCTGGGCCGTGGAGCCCACCTTGGGACTCCAGCGTTGCCAACCCCTACGAGGCATCACAAGCTGTAGCTCACAGAAGAGGCTGTGGGGTCTTAGCACGGGGCCTGGGCATGTGCTGGGGTGTTTTGGGGTGGGGAATGAAAGCTGCTGTGTGATCCCTGGAGCTGGTGTGGAAGGCTCTTGTCCCTAACACCCGGCCTCTCCTCTCGGTCGCCTGCCCTGCTGCGCTGCTTCCCCCCGCAGTACATGGGGTGCATTGAGGTGCTGCGCTCCATGAGGTCCCTGGACTTCAACACCCGGACACAGGTCACCAGGTAGAGCCCCGCAGTCCCACTCTCCTGCACCCCAGTGCCACCCCGAGCCCCCGGCGGCCCTGGGTGCTCCCCCTCCCCAGCGCCCTGTGCAGGGAAGGGAGCAGGGGCCCGGGGGAGCCGTGTCCTGCAGGACCCACCCTGCACGCAGGGACACGGGCGAAGGGCACTGCCGCAGATCAATGGGTGGAAAGAGGAGAAGGGAGGAGGCCCCGGCTGGGATTACGTACTGGGCCGTGACGTGGGGCAGCGCTGCAGGGACGCTGCGGTGCCTGGGGCTGTGGGGGCTCGTGCCACCAGACCCCGCAGAGCAATGTGGGGTGAATGCAGCTGGGAATGGCTGGGGGTCTGGAGCAGTGAGCAGGCCAGGGTCTGTCATTGCAGGGAAGCCATCAACAGACTGTACGAGGCAGTGCCGGGTGTGAAGGGCATCTGGAAGAAGAAGGTGAGTTTCCACTCATCTTGTCCATCCCTGGGACAAGCCAAGGCTGTGGGACAAGGCACCAGGGGTGCCTGTCCAGTTTGTGGGCCTGTGGCCTCTTGGGGTATGCCCCCTTTCCTCATTCACCAGAGGAAACCTGGTCCTGGTGGTCTTCGTTGTCCCCACCATCCTCTCCCCTGTCAGGCTCCCAACAAAGCTCTGTTCTCCATCCTGGGCAAGAGCAACCTGCACTTCGCTGGCATGAGCATCGCTGTCAACATCTCTGTGGATGGGCTGAACCTCATGATCCCCACCACGCGCCAGGTGAGTGTTCCTGGGCACACAGTCCTGCTGCCTGCCAGCCTGTGAACCAGTGGCCCCTTTGCAAACGCCCCCCCGGGCCGTGTTCCCCATGCAGATCATCGCCAACCACCACATGCAGTCCATCTCCTTCGCCTCGGGTGGGGACATGGTGAGTCGTGCCACCCCAGGGTGCTGGGGACAGGGACAGCCAGCTGGGCACAGGGCAGCCTGGCCTGGGTCAGGACGTGGCACTGGGGATGANCCCCGCAGTACATGGGGTGCATTGAGGTGCTGCGCTCCATGAGGTCCCTGGACTTCAACACCCGGACACAGGTCACCAGGTAGAGCCCCGCAGTCCCACTCTCCTGCACCCCAGTGCCACCCCGAGCCCCCGGCGGCCCTGGGTGCTCCCCCTCCCCAGCGCCCTGTGCAGGGAAGGGAGCAGGGGCCCGGGGGAGCCGTGTCCTGCAGGACCCACCCTGCACGCAGGGACACGGGCGAAGGGCACTGCCGCAGATCAATGGGTGGAAAGAGGAGAAGGGAGGAGGCCCCGGCTGGGATTACGTACTGGGCCGTGACGTGGGGCAGCGCTGCAGGGACGCTGCGGTGCCTGGGGCTGTGGGGGCTCGTGCCACCAGACCCCGCAGAGCAATGTGGGGTGAATGCAGCTGGGAATGGCTGGGGGTCTGGAGCAGTGAGCAGGCCAGGGTCTGTCATTGCAGGGAAGCCATCAACAGACTGTACGAGGCAGTGCCGGGTGTGAAGGGCATCTGGAAGAAGAAGGTGAGTTTCCACTCATCTTGTCCATCCCTGGGACAAGCCAAGGCTGTGGGACAAGGCACCAGGGGTGCCTGTCCAGTTTGTGGGCCTGTGGCCTCTTGGGGTATGCCCCCTTTCCTCATTCACCAGAGGAAACCTGGTCCTGGTGGTCTTCGTTGTCCCCACCATCCTCTCCCCTGTCAGGCTCCCAACAAAGCTCTGTTCTCCATCCTGGGCAAGAGCAACCTGCACTTCGCTGGCATGAGCATCGCTGTCAACATCTCTGTGGATGGGCTGAACCTCATGATCCCCACCACGCGCCAGGTGAGTGTTCCTGGGCACACAGTCCTGCTGCCTGCCAGCCTGTGAACCAGTGGCCCCTTTGCAAACGCCCCCCCGGGCCGTGTTCCCCATGCAGATCATCGCCAACCACCACATGCAGTCCATCTCCTTCGCCTCGGGTGGGGACATGGTGAGTCGTGCCACCCCAGGGTGCTGGGGACAGGGACAGCCAGCTGGGCACAGGGCAGCCTGGCCTGGGTCAGGACGTGGCACTGGGGATGAACTGTCCTCTCGCCCTGGCACCTCCAGCCCTGCTCCCCACAAAGTAGCAGGACATGAGTGCTGATCTCCTCCTCTGCCTGCAGGATACCACAGATTATGTCGCCTATGTCGCCAAGGACCCCATCAACCAGAGAGGTGACACCGGCCTCCACACCTGGGGGCTCTGTGGAGGAGGAACGCACCGGGGGTGGAGGCTGGAGGAGGAGATCCCTCCTGGAGAACACTGGGGGGGGGCTCAGGGTGGTCCTGGTGAGCGATGGCAGCGTGGGGGAAAGAACTCCAGCCGTCCGTCTGTCTGTCCACAGCCTGCCACATCCTGGAGTGCTGCGAGGGGCTGGCGCAGAGCGTCATCAGCACGGTGGGACAGGCCTTTGAGCTGCGCTTCAAGCAGTACCTGCACAGCCCCCCCAAGGTGGTGGTACCCCCAGAGAGGTAGGGGGGTGGGGGGCCCTGCTGCACCCCTGTCCCGGCCGTGTCCCCTGGCAGGGGGTGGCTCTGGGGACCCCTGTCACTGCAGGGCACGGGGATGGTGTGAGCCAGGCAGGGTGTCCCCAGCTCACCCATCCCTGCTGCAGGGCGCTGGCTGCAGAGGAGTCAGCCTGGGGGGAGGATGAGGAGGCGGCTGAGCACGACTACTACAACAGCATCCCAGGGAAGGAGCCCCCCCCGGGGGGCCTGGTTGACTCCCGGCTCCGCCACAGCGCAGCCCTGGGCCACGTCCGCACTCAGCCCTCCAGCTCTGTCCCCCCCAGCCAGGTGAGCCCCTCGGAGCCGCTGCTGGCCTTGCTATGAGGGTCCAGGCAGGGCCCCCCCAAGGCTCTGACTGTCTCCTTTCCTAGGGCGGGTTAGCAGCCAGACGAGAGCCGAGCAGCCAGCCGGGGCCGCCCTGGGAGCTGGAGAGCCAGGGTGGGTACTGCTGTGGGTGGGGGGAAGCCGTGAGCCGGGGGGGTCCCTGTGACTGTGCCCAGCCCTGGGCAGCGGTGACGGCCGTCCTCGCAGGCCAGCCCTGCGACGGGTACCTGCAGGCAGACAGCCACAGCCTGGGGCCGCGGGACTACGAGGAGCACATGTACGTCAACACACAGAGCCTGGACGCCTGGGAGCCCGAGCTGCTGGCTCATGGGGCGGCAGAGGAGAGCCCCAAAAAGGACCTCTTTGACATGAGTAAGCCACTGCCCCGGGGGAAATGGTGCAGAACGTGCTGTGGAGTGGTCAAGCTGTGCCAGCAGCTGTCTGGGTCACCCAGCACAGCCCCGGTGGGTGCTGGCATTGGCCGAGTCCACAGCAGTGCCCTGCAGTGTAGGGAGCGCTGGGCTCCAGGGTGGTTTAGGTGAAGGGAGACGAGAGATCTCTGCAGGCTGCACTTGGGATATCAGGTTTATTAGGGATGGAGAAAGGTCCTGCTTGGAGCTGCCAGACACAGCACGTGGCAAGGCTTGAGGGGATGGGTGAGGGGAGAGACAAGAGGATGCTCCAGGAGAGGGTGGAGGTCCTATGAGTGGGAAGATCCAAGAGAAGGGGAAGTTCCAAGGGGCCGTATGGCCCCTCACAGCCCCTTATCAGGGGGCTTCAAGGTGAGGTGGAACAAGACTCGGGCCAATGGGGTTACAGACACCTGATGTTTTAGGGGAGGGTTACAGGTGCGGGGTGAACCGTACATTTTGGGGGGTGAGATGGAACAGTCCACTCGACCCCTGGACCCATCCATAGGCAAGGGCATTGTCTGCCTAGCAAGGAGGACCGTTCTCATCCTGGCTGTGTTATTTATGAATAATTATATTTATCCATCCTTCCCAACACTACAGTGCACCGGGGGTCTGTCCACACTGCAGCCCAACCCTGCCTGGTGCCCTGGGTGTAACACCCCACAACCCCTGGATCCCACAGGGCCATTCGAGGATGCCCTGAAGCTCCACGAGTGCATTGCAGGGGGGACCAGCAGCCCCCCCATTGAGGACCAGTGGCCGAGCCCCCCGACACGGAAGGCCCCGGTCGCCCCCACGGAGGAGCAGCTGCGGAGGGAGCCCTGGTACCACGGCAGGATGAGCCGGAGGGATGCTGAGAGGCTCCTGCAGATGGACGGGGACTTCCTGGTGCGGGACAGCCTCACCAACCCGGGGCAGTACGTGCTGACCGGCATGCACAGCGGGCAGCCCAAGCACCTGCTGCTGGTGGATCCCGAGGGAGTGGTGAGGGCAAGGCACGGGGGTGAGGGCAGGGCACGGGGTGGGCAACTGGGGTGATGGGTGGGCACAGGGTGTTGCAACTGGATGCTGTATGAGGGGCAAGTCTCCTGAGTTGAGGATCGCTGTGCCCCGGCCCCAGGTGAGGACCAAGGACGTGCTGTTTGAGAGCATCAGCCACCTCATCAGCCACCACCGGCAGAACGAGCAGCCCATCGTGGCGGCAGAGAGCGAGCTGCACCTCCGCCAGGTTGTTCAGAGGAAGCAGTGATGCCAAGGGGGTATGTGAGTCCCCGACCTGCTCCCCTGGCTCTGAACTCACCCTAGGGCAAAACTGGAGTTCCTTTGTGCTGCCCTTCTCCAGTTGTGCCTGGACTCCGGGGTCAGGCTCCCCATTTTCCTCCTCAGCAAGGCTGTGTGGTCCCTGGCTCTGCAGGCCCTCCCTGGCTGCTGCCTACCTCCATCATCTGCACGGGGCGCCCTGCCCAGCTGGACACAAAGACGTTTAATTCCACACTCACAGGTGAAACGCTCTTGGGGTGGGAACTGCTCAGTGGCCTCAGCAGCAGGGATGGAGCCTGAAGCCATCTCAGGCAGAGCTGCCCCCACTTGCCCCAGCACTGGAATGGGGGCTGGTGGATGTTGCTGTAGCCCCTGGCTTGGCCCTGCCCAGGGGGCCAGGCACAACCATCTCTTGGACGCTGGTGCTGTTGGATGTTCCTGTTGGGGACATCCCTTTTCAGCTGGATTTTCCCCAGGAGTGGCTGCCACATGATGCTCCATGTGGCCCCAAGCCCCTGCAGCCCTCCCCAGGCCAGGGCCAGGATGGAGCTCCTGTGGGAAGGTGCAGGGCAGGGCTGAGCTGCTGGCACTGCCTCACCAGGTGTCCCATGGCCTGTGGGGGCCCCCTGGCCAGCTTGGGGCTTTGGCAGGTTTTCGTGGCACACACAGCCCCCTTTACCTGCCCTGTGTCTGGTGCTGGGCGCAGGTTTGTGGTTTGGAGTACGTTTCTAATTAAACCTGGAGATGAGCAAGGAACACAGGTGGTTTGTGCCACCCCTGGGCATGGTGCTGGGGTGTCTCCATCACCACCAGTTCCTCTCACCTTGGCCAACCCATCCTGTCCAGTCACACTTATCTCTGCCCCTCTGGGTCACCCTGTCCCCCGTGGATCACCTGGCTTCAGAGTGGCCTTTGGCACCCAGGGCTGGCCCTGCACGGCCTCTCCTCCTCCTGCTGCCAGCTCCCCTCCTTGCCTCCACCTGGAGCAGCACATGGCCACCCAAACCGGCCCTCCTGGGGTGGCTCTGAGTGACACAAGCCAAGCTGTGACCCACTAGTGGACGTGGCAGCCAGCAGAGCCAGAGCTGTGGCTGAGCCTGGCTGTGGCTCCTGTGGGACAGCCAGTTGGGGGGTCCAGCACCACTCCTGGCTGCTGGTGGCCTCTTCTGGCTCTGCTCTGCATGCCCAGTGCTGCTCCAGCACCCACCTCGGGGAGCAGGGTCACCCCAGCACCCTCAGCCCCTCGCTGGGGATGGCCTCTGCCACACAAGGCGTCCAGGCTGGCCAGTGCCAGCTGAGCCAATGAATAAAATAATCCCCTAAATAAAGCCCAGTAATGAATGCGTAATTTTCCATTGATAGCTGATTCCGCGGGGACATGGTGCTTCCATCTCAGCTGCTATTTTCTGTCGTGGAGTGATGCGTCTGCAAAGATAATTGCACTGCTCCCTCAACAGAGGCAGGGAAAGGCAGCGAGGGCCCCGACTTTTTTATTTCACTGCTGGAGAACCGAGCCTGTCTGGTTCACCTGCTGGCGCTGCCTCACCCTGCAGCCCCGGGGATGCTGCCCTGAAGGGATGAAGGGCTGGTGGCGTGGATGTTCCAGGGGTTTAACCACTTTGGCTGAAGCTGATGTGTGGTGCCAAGGGGTGCAGGGGGCTCTGTGCCTCAACCCAGACCTGGGTTGAAGGGCTACTGCTTTTTCAGCCCCTATGATGGGAGGGCTGCAGCGTTACAGGAAGCCTGAGGTGTTTTGGGAAGGTTAGGAAGCCACAGAAGAGCAGCTGCAGAGAACGTGGCCTCCTTGCTCTCCCAGGACCTTGGAGATCTCGCTGACCAACCCCTCCCCTGCTTCTGTCTCAAATGTGCGGACAGCAGACACGCCCAGTTCGATTTTTCAGGGCGTCCTTGCACAAACCCTTTCCCACAGCAGGCTTCCCTCCTTCCCAGCTTCCAGCAGGTGGTAGCACACTGCCGGCTCCACCAGCAATGTCCCCAGCTCTGCCAGCCCCTGCCAGCGTCCCCAGCCCTGCCGGGGCGCAGCCGGGCAGCTCCCGGCACCCGGTTCCCCTCCGTGCTCCGCGGGCACCGGCCCCGAGCCCCGCGGGCAGAGCGCTCTTTGTTATCCCAGGGGAACTCAACCATTTCTGCACCTTGTTTACCCGCAGTTTCGCAGGGCGGAGGAAAAGCAAACATCGGCCTTTTGTTCACCAGCTTCCCCTTCCGTGAGCCTCGTCCTCCTCCCCCGGGCTCCATCTGCCCTCTCGCCCCTGCAGAGCCCGGCTCAGCATCCCGCAGTCGGAGCCCGGGGTCCAGCCAGGAGCTCCCCGCGTTCCCCACCGCTGTCCCTGAGACATCCCAGCCCTCGGGCCGGTTCGGCACGGCCGGACGCCGCTTTTTACCAGCTCCAAGCGCGGATGCGGAGGGAGCCGAGGCCTCCCGCAGCAGCCCCCGCAGAAGGCGCTCACCACACCAGGCTGTTCTTCCTGGCCGTCACTGCCAGCCCTGCGCTGCTGAGGAGCGATGGGGCTTCCCGGCAGCCTGACGGCATCCACAGGGCAGCAGCCAGGAAGGAACAGCCGCTTGACCCTTTTGCGCCTCTGTCCCTCTCGGTGCATCCCTGTCCCCAAGGCTGTAAATCCCCGGGGGACCGGGGCTGGGCCCGATCACTCGGTTGAGTCTCCCGAGCCCCCGCAACACCGGGGCTTGCTGTGATGCTCCGTGAACCCTCCTGACGTTTTGTCCCGGTGTCCCCAGCCACCACCGCATCCCGTCGGGGGCTGGTGGGTTTTGTGACGTGGGGGAGTGTGACATGGGGGAGTGTGACATGTGGCACTGCCGCCCCACCAGCTCCTCCTGGGCAGAATTAAACCACTCGATGAAACAACTCCTCAGCCCCGAGACGCTGCTGGCTTCATTCAGTGCTTTGAAATCAAGAGCTGGGAGTGGGGAGCGGCTGCACCCAGCGGGGAACAACCGCGCTCCGGCCTGGGGGCACCGGGAGGGCGGGAGGGGTAGAACGGGGCTGCCGCCGTCCCGAATTCCGCTCCTGGCCCCATCCCACACGCGACACTCCGGTGGGAACACGGCCGGCTGTCCCGGGCCCGTGTTCCCGCACCTCCCGAGCATCAGCATCCCGGGGCCAGTCCCGGTCCCGCTCGGTCCGGGTCCGGTCCCGGTTCCAGTCCTGGTCCGGCCACGCGCGGCGCGCAGAAATGTGGGGGCGCCGCACTCGGAGGATTACGGCGGCGCGGCCGAGGAGCGGAGCCGCCGCCGCCGCCGCCGCCGCCGCCGCCGCCGTATAAAAGCGCGTCCGCGCCCGCCCCGCCCGGGCTGCGGCGGCGGCGGCGGCTCCGCTCCAGGTGCGGCGGTTCCCGGCGACGTCCCGCTCGCGGCGGCGCCGGTCGGTCGGTTCGTCGGTCGCGGCGTCGCGTCTGCCCCGTCCCAGCGCATCCCTCGGCGCCGCCGGGTCCCCGTCCCCCGGGTCCCCGATCCCCGCTCCTCGCGGCCGGTTCTTCGCGCTCCTCCCCGGGCTGGCGGGTCCCCGTGTCCCTCGGCGCGGCCGGTTTCCTCCCGTCCTCGTCCCGTCCCCGCTTCTGCCAGGTCCGGGTCTCTCCGCTCTGCCGCTGGTCGCTCCCGGGGCTTCCGGCTTCGTCCTGCCTCTGCCGGTGCCCGGCCCCCGGTGATAGCGTTGCCCCTCGGGTCTCTTCCAGCCCCACACCCGGCAGCAACATGTGGCTCCTGGAGAGGCTGCGCGGGGTGGCGGAGAACGGCGGGTCCCGGGCGGCGGGGACGGAGGAGTCCTCGCGGGGGTCCCGCTACAGCAACGTCCTCACCCCCGACAAGATCCCCGACTTCTTCATCCCGCCCAAGCTGAGCGCGGCACCCGCCGAGGCTGAGGGCTCCGAGGCGCCCGCAGCGGCCGCTCTGGGTGCCTCGGTGTCAGAACAGGACCTGGCCAAGCGCAAACCCCCGCGCAGCCCCCGCCCGTCCAGCCGCTCCCGGTCCCGGACCACCGGGCGGCACATCATCCAGATCGAGACCGCCGAGGACTGGACCGAGGGGAGCTGCGGCACCAACGCGGACCCGCAGGCACAGACGGCCATGTCGCTGCCCTACGTGCCCAAGGCGCAGACCTCCTACGGCTTCGCCACGCTGATGGAGAGCCCCCACACCCGGCGCAAGGAGTCCCTTTTCCACAGCGAGCACAGCAGCCTCTGCCCCTCGCCCGTCACCTCGCCCAGCGCCCAGCGCAAAGCCAAGCTGAACGGCGAGAGCGGCCGCCGGACACCCGCTGACCTCGGCGCCGCCCTCATGCACCCCGGCCGCTACTTCAGCGGCGGCGAGAGCGACACGGGCTCCTCGGCGGAGTCCTCGCCCTTCGGCTCCCCGCTGCTCTCCCGCTCCGTCTCCCTGCTGAAGCTCTTCAGCCAGGAGAGCCAGTCCAAGGTGATCAAGCTGAAGCACTCGGTGGCCCGGAACAGCTCGCTGTCCACTGACGACAGCTCGGCCGACACCAGCCCCAGCGCCCAGCGCCGAGCCAGGAGCGCCCCGGCCGGGACGCAGCCTCCCACCGCGCTGCTGCCGCTGGACCTGCCCGCGGGCCGGGACCGGGAGCACAGCCTGCGGCTGAGCCGGGGCGGCAGCCTGCGCCTGGCCGCCGAGTACGACCCCTCCAACGCCCGGCTCCGTGTGCGCCTCGTCTCCGCCGAGGACCTCTACGATGCCCTCGTCGACCTGCGCAGCATCAACTGCTGCGTCTCGCTGTGCCTCAACCCCGGGAAGCTGCAGAAGCAGCGCAGCACCATTGTCAAGAACAGCCGCAACCCCGTCTTCAACGAGGACTTCTTCTTCGATGGGCTGGGCCCCGGCCACGCCAGGAAGATGTCCCTGAAGCTCAAGGTGGTCAACAAGGGCAGCAGCCTTAAGCGGGACACGCTGCTGGGGGAGAAGGAGCTGCCACTCACCGCCCTCCTGTCCTGCCTATAGGTACCTGCTACCAGCCCCGGAGGGAGCCCTCCCACCTGTGGGGCCGGGGCGAGGCAGGGCGGCCGGCTCTGTCCCCCAGCCCCGCTGGAGGAGGGTTTGGAAGGGCCCCCTGAGGAGGGCCAGGGTCGTGGCAGGGTGTGGGGGTCCCCAGGAATAGTGCTGCTGCGGGGCTCTGCCAACAGCAGCTGGCAACCACAGCCTCTGCCCCTGCTCCCTCCCTGGTCCTGCCCCGGGGCTGCATCTCCTGGAGCCCAGCAGAAAGTGGGGAGCCTCCAGCCCATTCCCCACCAGGAAGGATGGCAGCACCTGTTGGACTCTTCCCTCCCTGTGCCTGTGGTCTCCAGCTGCCACCGAGCAGGTTGGAGGTGGGTAAATCTCTGTAGCACACTTACGGGCACCTCTCAAAGCCCCAGCACCTGCAGTCAGGTGACAGCTTTAATTTAAAACACAAGTTTCTGGTGTTGGAAACTGCAAAGAAAATACTGCAGAGGTGACCCGAGAGTGGGCCAAGGGCGGTCATCCTGGAGGATAAGTCAGGTTTGTGGCTTTTGAGCCTTTCCTGGACCTGGTCCAGCCCTGTGAGGCTGCAAGGTTGGCTTGGTCTGACACCTACGGCCTCCCAGGCTGCCCTCCCTGCCCACCCCAGCACTGTCCCCCACTGCTGACCCCCTGTGGGAAACTGCTCACGGAGCTCTGGGGGCTTTGCTTTGCCCAAATCCAGGAGGCTGCCTGTGCCTTTCCCCTGCCCACGGGAGGGAGATGCTGGGGGCTGGCACCTCCTGCCCTGGGCACACGGATGGTCCCGGGCAGCGTCCCAGCAGTTGTGCTTGCTGACAGAAGCTGAGGTGACAGGAGTAGCCCCCAGTAAATGCTGGGGCCATCCCAGGTGAGGCTGGGCAGGGGGGCAGGCTGAGGCTCCACAACCCTCCATCCTCCCTTGTCTATGAGGGCAGAGGATCTTTTACCCACTGGGCAGCCACAATATGTCCTGTGGGGCCACCAAGCTCCTGTGCCCAGCGGGATCTGGCTTCTCAAAGTGACCGGCCTGCCTTTCAGATTCCTTCTGGGGAGGGAGCGAGGTGCTCCCAGCCCTTCCCATCCCGCCCTGTCACCCCGGCTGTTGGCTGGGGACAGCAGGGGCAGGGAGGATGCCAGCCAGGGCATTTCTGCGGGCGGGTCAAACACGCTGCGTTGTTGTTTGGTGTGGTGTCACCCTTTGTGTCGGGCTCTGCATGTTTCTGTGCAGGGAGCAGGGTTTGCAGCGCTCCCGTCCCCGCCTGTCGCAGCACGCATGGACACACACACACACGTGTCCCCTCCATGTTAACCTCTGTGGTGGCAGTCCATGTTCCTTTATTTGTCCTTTTGCAGCAGATGGCAGATCTCAGTGTTGACTATTTATATCCGAGGCTGATGTTTCGCAGCGTTTTACTTTGTCTGTAAATACGTTCCAGGTACGCAAGGCACGGTTCTGGCCGCGCCGTGTTTGCATGTCGGGGGGATTCAGGGTGATCGTGGCTGTTTGCTGAGCTTGTGGTTGAAAACACGCAGGACATAAGGAGCTGACATGTCCATCCTTCACAGGGAGTTCCCCGCTTGAGGCTTCCTTGTGCTCCCCCAGCACCAGGGATGGTCCCCGAGTGCCCTGGCTCACCCTGGGGGCAGAGCAGGGCTCCGGGGAGGGGGGATAGCAGAGGTGTCACATCCCGGGCTGTGGGGGGACATCCTGCCCCTGAGGAGCTCTGGGGTACAAAGGGGACCTTGCCCAGCTGGTGCTGCCTGGCAGCCCCAGCACACCTCACCCTGTGCTCCCTGGGGTGCTGCACCTGCGAGGGGCTGGGGGGAGCCGGGTGCTGCTGGGTGGGGGGCACAGGCTGCAAGAAGAGGAGGAGTGGGAGTGGGTTGAAGGCTTTGGTGCTCTGAGAGCTTTGAGGGGTGACATCCCCCGCAGAAGAACCGTGTGCCTTTGGGTGTGGGGGAGGAGGATGCTGAGAGCAGGACCCCAGGCTGCTCCCTAGGGTGAGGGTGACCCCAGAGGGAGACCCAAGGGCCTGGGGACTCTCGTGCTGCCCCAGCCCAGCCTGTCCCAGGGCTGTCTTCTGGAGGTGGGTGTGTGACCGTGCAGTGAGCCCCGGGATGAGCTGCTGTGAGCCCTGCCCTGTGCTGGGCTGGCGGTGTGGGAGCCAGGGCTGCTGCTTGAATGGGTCTCTCTGCTGCTGCAGCTATTTTCTATTGTTCCTGCTTTGATATTTCTGTGGCTGGATTTAATGATGTATTTTTGGAGTGAAAACATATATTAATACCTGAATGGAATGTTTGTTTACAGATGATTTCCTCTTTTTAGTGCAATAAAGTAATTTCTAAAACAGATGCAGGTGTGGCCCTGGCTACTGCTTTCCCCAAGATATTTCCATTCTTGATGGCTTCCTGTGTGGGGGAGCAGAGCTGGAACCTCAACACTGTCCAGACACAGAGCAGCACTGCTCTGCTGGGTGCTGCTTGCCTTTCCAGGGGCTCAAGGTGCTTCTGAAGCTCTTCCCCTGCTGCTGTGGGGTGAGGTGGGAGTGAATCTCCCGGGAGAGGTGGGTACCTGGCGAAAGGAGCTGTTCCTGCTTGAGGGGGCACCCAGGGCTGTGCTGAGGGAGAGCCCCTTCCCACACCCTGTGGGTGTCCTTCCTCCTCCTCCTCCTCCTCGCCTGCTCCCCCATCCTGACCCCTGCAGCTCTCCTCAGCACTGGTGATGAAGAAACTGGTGATGGTTTTGTTCTCACCACTCACAGGGCCCCCCCCGCCCAGCTGACAGCATTCAGGTTGCTTTCTTTTCTCCCCACCTGCCACTTCCAAATCTGTTCCTAGCCAGATGCTGCTGAAGAAAAGAGGAGTGTTTGCCTGTTACCTAAATACCATTTTTCTAATTCCCACAATTTTGATAATTTGTCATTTTTGGTAGCTATAGAGGCTGGGTGGGAACAGATCTGTTGTCTCACCTCTGGCCCCCACAGGGGTGGTGAAAGCAGCTTGGTAGGTGCTAATAATTTAAGTCGTGCTTTTTCTAGAGGTCCAAAGATGCAGCAGTTAGTAACAAAATGAGTCTGATTAAGTTTGTCTGAACCAGAGTGGATGGGGTCAGCCTGAGCACACAAAAATCCCTGGAAAGTATTCAACATTTGAAGCTCTGGAAGCAGCCAGAGGGGTGGAGAAGGGTATCTTGTGGGGGAAGATTTAACTCTGAATTTGTAATTGAGACGCCGTGGGAAGGAAATGCGTCTGCCTCGCTGGACCTGGGAGGGCTTGGTCATGCTGAGAGGAGTGCCTGGACCGGGAGCTGCTGCTGGGGAAGAGGTTGGTACATCCCCGGTGCACAGCGCAGCCCCTGGGGTCAGGGAGTGCCCGGGTGAACCGCAGCCGGGTGAAATCCCGAGCCCAGGGCCGGCTCTGCCCATGGCTGCGCACACCGAGCGGTGGCTGAGCCCTGGGACATTTCCCCTTGCGCAGGGATTCCTCTGGCCAGGGCTCCCGAGGTTGCCGCAGCTGTGGCGCCGCACATTTGGGTGGCCCAATCTGTGCGGGAAACTGAGGCAGAGCGGGGGAGGCGGCTGGATTTGGAGGAGCGCTGATCTCCGGAGGGAGGGAGTGAGGCTCACCTGGGCGAGAGGCACACACCGAGCTATTCTTAGCGCTGTGTTCCCGCAGCGCGAGGGACTCAACTCCTGACAAAATTGCCTGGAGCTCATTTAGCCACGGCGTGGTGGCTGCCAGGGGAGGGAGAGGGCAAATTCGGGGCTCAGTCTCATCCAAGGCAGGACCAAGGCTCCCGGGAGGGTTCTGCAGTGGGGAAGGGCACTGGGGACTGTCCCTGCTGGGCACACCCTGTCCCTGCCCCATCCTCCAGCCGGGCTGGGGGTCCCGGGGCCGAGCGCTGTCCTTGGCACTGCTTGGGGGTCTCTGGCACCGCTGGGGGGTCCTTGGTACCACTCAGGGACCCTTGGCACTGCTCGGGGGTCCCTGGCACCGCTGGGGGGTCCTTGGTACCACTCAGGGATCCCTGGAACTGCTCGGGGGTCCCTGGCACTGCCCAGGAGTCATTGGCACTGCTCGGGGATCCCTGGCACCCCTCGGGGGTCCCTGGCAACGCTCGGGGGTCCCTTGGCACCGCTGGGGGGTCCTTGGTACCACTCAGGGGTCATCTGCACTGCTCGGGGATCCCTGGCAACACTCGGGGGTCCCTGGCACCGCTCGGGGGTCCTTGGCAGTTTTGGCTGAGCAGGGCTGCGACGGCTGCTTCTCCTCTCTGGATTTTTTGGGTGCTGTCGAGGCCGGGGGAGCCTCGCATGCTCCCGCGGGCAGCCCCAGCCCAGCCATTTCCCTCCCCCCACCCCCAAGCCCGGCTGCCGATTTCCCGTTTCGGTCAGAAAAGCATCTTCCCGTCGCCTGGCAACGCTCGGCCGGTGGCGGGGGGGCTCCGGGCGGGGGAAGGGGGTGGCCCCGCGGGTCCAGCGCCCGGTGCCCGTGCCCACTCCGCCGCACGGTTCTGGCCAGCCGGGCCGGGCCGGGCCGCGGTGGCGGGGGGGCTCCGGGCGGGGGAAGGGGGTGGCCCCGCGGGTCCAGCGCCCGGTGCCCGTGCCCACTCCGCCGCACGGTTCTGGCCAGCCGGGCCGGGCCGGGCCGGGCCGGGCGGGCAGAGGCGCGGGGAAGCGGCGGGCGCGATCCGGGCAGCGCCGGCTGCGGGGAGCATCGGCCTCCCCCGGCATCGCGCTCCAGCGCTTTATTGCAAGCATTTGTCTTCCATGGCAGCGTGTCTGCCTTAAAGGGGAGAGGAGAGACTCCCGCTGTTACTGGGAGGAAAGCAGAACTTAATTGAATCTCACAGTCTCTTGTAGTCGCATCAGCGGAGAGTGACACCGCGGCGTTCCCCCCGGGGCACGCAGCGGTCTGTGCTCCTCCAGGAGACACGGAAAGCCCCGGGCTGGGGTTCCAAGAGCCTGCCGGGGACAGAGATGTCCTCCAGCTCCTTGTCAGCCCGGAGGCACTCGGCACTCCGCTGAAATGCAGCTCCGTGGCAGCAGCTGCCAGGGTGTACCTGGGGCAACCAGAGCTGCCCAGCACACGGGGAACTGGGCCCAGATCTTGCCTCCATAGCCGGGAAAAGGCAACCAGAGAATGGGAAATGGCATTTTGGACTCCCTCTCACCATTAATTCAAGCCCCTGGATCCAGCCTTGACTTGGGGCTGGGGCCAGGGTGGGTGTACAGAACACTAGGAAGTGCAGTGGGGGAGTGCAGGGAGCGTGCAAGGATGGATGAGGGTGAGAGCAGCGGCTGCCTTGCAGGGTGGAGGATCTTCCCCGCCTCTCCTCACCCTTTCTAGTGACCTGCTCCTCACTAGCTGCCTGGTGGACTTTGAAATGCTGCCTTTAAAACGTTTGCAGAATTCCCAAAGCATCAAGAAGGCCCAGGTGGGAGGGTGAGAAATGGCATAAATAAGC